CCACCTATAATTCTCTGCTCAAAGACCCATGTTTTAATTTTCAGGGCATGGTCTCTTTAACTGCTGTACTCACTGATTGGAACCCTCTGTGTGCCATGGCATTGTATCTTACTCCAACTGCAGCATTTCTTCTGGCCTTATAAAAGCATGTAAGATGTGTAACTAATTAAAAATTAAATAACACAGGTTTTATCAGGCAGCATGTTTTTACCCATTTTGTTTACCTCTTTATCCACTCAGTCGTTGTTCAAGCTAAATGCTCGAGGTCTCTTTCATTTTTAATTACATTTTCCACTGCAGAGCCAACATTTGAAAAAAATACTTTTGAATTCATTTCACAGTAACAGATAATGCTTTAGGAATTTTAAAATATCTTTTGTCTTTTTTGCATGATATTTGAAAATAGTGATTTTAAGTTTGCATTTTTAAATGTTAGGTCAGTATATCATGAAATTTTAACAGATTATTTACTGTAAAGACTAATGCACATGTTTACTTTGAATTAGTTACATAAAAACATGATTTGACAACAGAATAAAAATGAAATTTTATCCTGTTTGATTTGAAGACCTACATTTAGACTGATTTTTAAAAAATATTTTTTGGAAAAAAACTATTGAAAAATTGGAAGAACAGTGAACTCCTAGATTGGCCACTCGTTAACATTTTGCCACATTTAATGAAATTTTATCCTGTTTGATTTGAAGACCTACATTTAGACTGATTTTTAAAAAATATTTATTGGAAAAAAACTATTGAAAAATTGGAAGAACAGTGAACTCCTAGATTGGCCACTCGTTAACATTTTGCCACATTCGCTTTCTCTCTCACTCTCTTTACATATGCATTCCAGAACACACACACACACATACACACACACACACACGAGTACTATTTTTTCTTTATGTATTTTTTAAAAATTTAATTGTGAAATACATGTAACATAAAATGATAGGTGAAACACAAATAGGTGACAAATGTTTGAGATGATGAATATACTAATTGCTGTGATGATTGCACACAGTATGAATGTACCCAAATATCATCTTGTACTCCATAAATATATACAATTATCATGGGTCAAAGAAAAATAAAAAGAGAAAGGAAAAGAAAGAGAAGTAGAGATAATGGTTATCAGAGGCAGGGAAAGGAAGGGGGTGATGGGATGGGGGGGCAGGGAAAGGTTGGTAGACTGGTACAAAGTTACAGAGTTACAATTAGGTAGGAAGAATAAGTTCTGGTGCTCTAGGGTGACAATAGCTAATAATATTGGATTGTATATTTCAAGATAGCCAGAAAAGAGGATCTTGAATGTTATAACCACAAAGAAATGATAAATGCTTAGGTGATAGATGTGCTAATTATTCTGATTAGATCATTATGGAATATATGCATGTATTGAAACAACAAACTGTACCCCATAAACATGTACTATGAAAATAAATTAAAAATAATAGGTGGCCGGCCCGGTGGCGCACTGGAGTGTGCCGCTTGGGAGCACGGCGGCGCTCCCGCTGAGGGTTCGGATCCCATGTGGAGACCGGTTCCCGCTCACTGGCTGAGCGCGGTGTGGACGCAACACCGAGGGTTGCGATCCCGTTGCCGGTCCCCGGTACGGGCGCGACACCGAGAGTTGCGATCCCGTTACTGGTCAGTAAAAAAGACAAAAAGGAAAAAATAAAAAAAAATAAAAATAAAAATAATAGGTGAAAAGTAGGAAAATTAACAAAGAGATAGTTTGTGGGTTTTTCCCAACATAAAGACATGTGGTACATTTTTCTGATTAGTATACTGACCATGGCAGCAGAAAATCCACCCATATTGAGGGAGGAGTATAACCTAATGGTTAATTTACTTTTAATGTTAGTGTAATACTCATTAAATTATTTTAAAACAGAATTTAAATGCTATTGTCTATCAATCTGGGGATTATCTTTGAGGAATATTAAGGAAGAAAATTTTACTACCTTCTTATTTTAATCAATAATGTTTTAATAATAATAAAAAAACTGATGAAATAGGAAGTGTGTGTTCTTTTATGATTTAAGTCTGATCCAATCATTATGTTTATCCTAAGATGTGTACATGAAAATCTACAGCTTTCATTTTTCACAAATGAAATGGAAATTCAACGGTAACCTAGGAAACTAGTGGAATCTACTTGAACTGTACAGAGAGCTAAGAGGATTGGTAACTGTTAGAAATAAAAGCAGCTCTTTCAACAACCTTGCTTCCAGATTTGACAGCTTCTCAGCAGGGCTGCTGGTGGAGCCTGGATGATTCTGGAAGGCCACAGTGATAGGAGTTGAAGTGAGCTATTCCCTTGCAAGTTCCTGACTGCTTCATGGGGGTGTGAACAATGTATCTCTGAAATTAATAAGATAAAACTAGACACACCAGCAAAAAGCTTTAGGATAAAGAATATTCCAAATTATATACAGGTGCTCAAGTTTAAAATCCAGCAATGAAGGTAAACCTCCTCTAGCACTGATAGTCTCTATAGCTGTCCTGCTATAGAGTTTATTTTTTAAAGTTTATTTATTAATATTATTATTATTTTTTAATTCTAAGATGTTGCAGAGTAGTTGGGGTAGAGGCAGAGAGGGGAAGGGTGAGGGGATATGGTGGGAAGATGAGGAGAGGGGATGGGGGCATGGTCGAGACCATAGCACCCACCTCATTCCAGCAAAGGAGCCCAGGGGGATTCCAGTGGTGGCTCAGTCATGACTGGGCTGGATGCGGACTTAGGGGAGCATGGCTGAGGCCCTCAGCCCCGCCCCCACCCCAGCTCAGAGGCCTGGGGTGCTTCCAGCAGCAGCCTGGATGTGGATGCCGGGGGGTGTGGCTGAGGCCCTCAGCCCCCTACCACTCCAGCTTGGGAGCCTAGGACACTTCTGGTGGTGGCCTGATGGTCATTGCTGGCCTGGATATGGGTGTTAAGGGTGCGTGGCTGAAGCCCTTGGCCCCCTCCACCCTGGCATGGGAGCCTAGGGTGCTTCCGGCAGTGGCATGGTGGTTGTTGCTGGGTTGGATGCAAATGTCAAGGGGATGTGGCTGAGACTCTCAGCCCCTCCCACCCTGGCTCTGGAGCCTGGGGTGCTTCCGGTGGCAGCTCAGTGGTCATTGTTGGGCTGGATATGGACGTTGTGGGGGCTTGGCTGAGGCCCACAGCCCCCCACATCCCAGCTTGGGAGCCCACAGCACTTCCGACAGTGGCTTGGTAGCTGTAGGTGGGCTGGATGCAGATGTCAGGGAGCATGGCTGAGGCCCTCGGTCCCAAGTTTGGGAGCTCAGAGCGCTTCTGGCAGTGGTGTGGTGGTCGCTGGGCTGGCTGCAGATGTTGGGAGCTTGGCCCAGACCCCCCCCCACCCCTGGAGCCCAGGGCGCTTCTGGAGGTGACTCAGTAGTTGTCACTGGGTTGGATGCAGATGTCAGGGGGCACGGCTGAGGACCTTGGTCCCCCACTGCCCCGGCTTAGGAGCCTGGGGTGTTTCTGGTGGCAGTCTGGTGGTCGTTGCTGGGCTGGATGTGGGCGTCAGGGGTGTGTGGCTGAAGCCCTTGGCCCGCCCCAGTCCCAGTTCAGGAGTCCGAGGGGCTTCTGGCAGGGGGGCTCAGTCATCACTGGACTGGATGCGGATGTCGTAGGGCATGGCTGAGGCCCTCAGCCCTCTCCCCACCCAAGCTTGTGAGCCTGGGGGGCTTCCAGTCCTTCTAGGTTTTATAGGTGTTCTTTGGTGGTGTTAGATCTTTACTGGTTAATATCAGAATTTTGTCCCTGAACTCTGGGTTTTTGTTTTTTCTTTTAATTCTGTGTTGGATTATTCAGTATTCTCACCACTTAAATCTGCACTGGAACTAATTTGTTGTCCTTTGCTTACTTCTAAAATGAGGAAACTTCCTGTGGGGACCAAAACTTGAGCCCCGTGGTTGTGCTAAATTGCTGCTTTGCTGCTGAGTCCCTGGGGAAGGCTTTTTGTGCAGCTCAGATTTTAATTGTTGACCTTGTGTGTACTTCCAGATCTTGTGAGTTCTGGTACTCTGGTCTGGGCCTGAGTTTTTTCAGCAAACTGCACCCCCTGCAGATCTGTATTCCTGACCAGTCTCCACTGAGTGATCCTGTGCTGATTGGATGGCAGATCAGCTGTCCATGCTGTGCCCCTGTGTTCCCGTGGTGGGCTCGTCTCCCTCACTGCCCACACTCCAAACACTTATGGAATGGGCCATGTGCCAGTCCCTTGCAATGATTCACTGGCCCCTGAGTGGCTCCTTTTTTTCGTTGTCTGCAGCCCCTCGCTCCTATGTGGGTCCGCAGGAACTCTGTTAGTGGTCTTGCTGGGCCCTTTTCTCCCCTGCATCTCCCAACAAATTCATAGGAAGGGCACAGCTGCAGCTTTTGCCACATCTTGCTCCATATGCTCACCAGGGCCAACCTTGAAGTGGCCAGGGCTAGAAACAGTTGGAGCAGTCCTTTCTTTCTCTCATCATGGGTTCTCTCACCTTCATGAACTCCGTAGGTCTCTCCTCCTCTTCCCCTGAGCTCTAATGGCCCTAGCTTGGCAGTCCTTGCTTTCTGTAGTTGTAAATTGGTTGATTGTGGGAGACAGTGACACTGGGTACTGTCTATTCTGCCATCTTGATCACAAGTCAGAAATTTTACTACTTTGTGTCATAATATTACCAATAAATTTGGTAGAATTCTTATTCATTTGGAATGATACAAATTAGAGGAACATGGATGTGAGCAGAAATAAAATTGCCACATTGAGTACATCAAGGTTACATAGAGTTTGCTTTCAAAGAGATATTTTATTTGCTATGTTGTCTTTATATGATCATGTTGAACATCTATTGGTGGTTGAGTATGGAAGAGTATGAACTGACCCACCACTTGGTTTTGAGGTGCTTAGTTCAGTTGTCAAAGATCTTTGCAAAAAGAGAGAATAAAAATGGGGTCATGTGACATAATGATGACTAAATATTGCTTTTTCTTTGTTTTGCAGTTCCAGTTCCTAACAGATTTAATAGGCGAGTATCAGGTATGTATTCTCTTCCATAACATACTGCTAGAATGCTATTTTAAGATAGGAATATCTTAAATAAAAATAAAAATAAAAATAAACTGATTTTTTAAATAAAAAGATAAGCTAATAGCATTACAGAACATTATGCTAAAAGAAAAAAATTACCTTTATTATGTTTTTAAGTTAAGAATATATATGTACATATTTTTATATTGCTATAGTGTGGTCTCTTTGCATTTGTCATTAATATTTTTTCATGTTCATAATTTCATCTTCTAAAAACTATTTTTTCTATTACTATTTCTGGTATTCTGGATTATGCTGCCATTAACTTCTCACATATACCTTTTTGAGCCACTTGAATTATTTCCTCAGTTATAGTGCTAGAAGTTGCATTCTCTGGTTAGAGACTGAGCATTGTTTTGGCTTTTTTCCTATTCTTCTCTCTTCCAGAACCTTCAACACCTCCTTTCCCATCCTCATTCTCAGCAGGTGATCTTTTTCTTTATATGACCAAAGAAATAGAAACAACAGAAGAGAATTTTGTAGAGTCCCACCACAATATCTATCCTTCTTCATCTGCCTATGAGTCCACAGTATCCACCTGTGCTAGATCCCATCCCTTCATTTTTCTAACTGTTAATTGTTCTCTATCATGTGTAATCTTTACACTTCAACTGAATATTCTTTCAAACCACAATATCTATCCTTCTTCATCTGCCTATGAGTCCACAGTATCCACCTGTGCTAGATCTCATCCCTTCATTTTTCTAACTGTTAATTGTTCTCTATCATGTGTAATCTTTACACTTCAACTGAATATTCTTTCAGCAAAGAAACGTATTGTTGGCTCTCTCTTCTTAAAAAAATAAGATAAAACTTTTTTTGACTACTTTTCCCTCTCCAACCACTACTCTTTTTGTCTGTATACCTTTATAGCAAAACCCCTTGAAGTTGTTCCATATCTTCTTTTGCTTCCGTACCTCACCAAAGCTATCTTTGTTGTTTGCTCATTCACATTCTTCAGACCTTCATTTGAAGGACACCTTCTCAGTACGGTCTGTCTAAAATTCACTCCCCCCTTCCCCAGCACACATGCACGTGTGCACACACACACCCACACACCCATCTTCCTTCCTAGCTTTATTTTCTCCTTAATGCTTTATCTATCTTATTTATCCTATTTATTATGTAGTTCCCTATTCTATAGTGTAAGTATAGTGTAAGTTCCATGAGGGCAGGGAATTTTGACTGTTTTGTTCATTAGTATATAGTTAACACCTAAAACAGTGTGAGTAAATATGGATGGGTGGGTGGATGGAAGAAAAAGAAGGAAGGAACCGGGCATTAGGAGGAAAGATTACTATAGGCAGAAGAAATCAAGACATACTTCTTGGAGAGAGGCAAAGATGACACTGGAGTTTGAAAAAATGGTTACTATTTGGCTACTACCAGGAAAGATGCATTCTAGGTGGGAGAATATCATAAAGACTTGAAGAGGGATGATCTAGACCTGGCTGCTGTGGCTGTAGGGGAGGAGGTAAAATAAGGTCGGAAAGAGAGGTGGGGAATGGTGTTCCTGATGTGACCTAAGGACCTGAGCAAAAACTAGTTGGATGAGCACATGTACTGTGTCAAAGACTGCAGAAGAGACTTCAGCAACTCGGGGTGACTGAATGAATAATAATCTGGAACATAAAGCAGCATAGGAGAGGTAGCAGTTATTGAGTGCCTCTTGTGAGCCCAGCCCAATGTTTTAAATGTCACCTTCAATTACTTACCCTTCACATGATTCTAGTATAGTTTTCCTCTCTTACCATTGAAGAGAACAAGGATCAAGAGACAGCGAGTACATCGTTGGTGGATCCAAGCTCAGACCCCTCCTTGCTGTGTATCTTCGGAGGCATGCTTTTCCCCCTCCTTGCTGCTTCTCTCTCTTACATAACACTGGAATTGGAAAAGCTATGCCTTCCAAATTCTGTGTTCTAGCAGAACAGTCCCTCTACATCAAGTGGTAAATAAATTGAATGAAGAGGTTCATGAATTCTTTAAATGTGGTTTTTTTGATATAGTCCTAAATTAGTGTTAACTGTCTTTGAGTTTGAACTGTTAGTATAATTCTGTTAATTCATGTCTTAATCCGGTTAGTGTTACTATGACAGAATACCCGAGACTGAGTAATTTATAAAGAAAAGAGGTTCGTTTGGCTCATGATTCTGGTGGCTGGAAAGTTTAAGATTGGGCGGCCCATCTGGCAAGGGTCTCATGCTGCTTCAGTTCATGCTGCTTCAGCTCATGGCAGAAAGCTGAAAAGGAAGTGGGCACATGCAAAGAGAGATGCAAGAGAGACTAGGCTTGTTTATAACAACCAACTCTCTTGGGAACTAATCCATTCCTGTGAGAGAAAGAATCACTCCTGTGAGAGGGCATTAATCTATTCACGAGGGATCTGCCCCCATGACCAGACACCCCCCAACACTGCCATGTTGAGAAACAAATTTCAGCATGAGTTTTGGAGGAGAAAAACCATATTCAAACCATAGCATTCTTCCCCTAGCTCATCAAAACTCATGTCCTTCTCATATACAAAATACATTCATTCCATCCCGGTAGTCTGAAAAGTTTTACCTTGTTTCAGCACCAACTCAAAAGTCCAAAATCCAAAGTCTCATCTGAGAGCCTGTGAAAATGAAAAACAAGTTTTTTACTTCCAAGCTACAATGGTGGGACAGACACTGGGTAAATATTTCCATTCCAAAAGGGAGAAGTAGGTCAAAAGAAAGAGTGACAGGCCCCAAACAAGTCTAAAACCCAGCAGGGAAGACATTATATCTTACAGCTCCAAAATAATCTTTCCCTTCATGTGCTGCCTACTGGGCACACTGGTGTGGGGGTTGGGACTCCAAGGCTTCAGGCAACCCCAACCCTGTGGCTTTGCTGGGTGCAGCTCATGTGGCTGCCATCATGTGTTGGAGTCTGGTGCTTGTAGATTACCCAGGTGGGTGTTGCACACTGCTTGCTGGTGGCTCTACAATTCTGATGTCTCAGGGGCAGCCTGTTCCCACAGCTCCACTAGGCATTTCCCTTGTAGAGATGCTGTGAAAGCTCTGCCTCTGCAGCAGGTTTCTGCCTGATCCCAAAAGCTGTTTGAAAAATCTTTTGAAATCTAGGTGGAATCTGCCATGACCCCATAGCTTGCATACTCTGTGTGCCTGTAGAGTCAGCACCATGTGGACACTGCCACGGCTTACAGCTTGTGCCCTCTGAAGCACTGGTACAAGCCACATCTGAGCCCACTTGAATCATAGCTGGAGTGGCCAGGATGCAGGAAGCAGAGGTCCAAGGTGGCCTTGGGCAGCAGACCCATGGAAAGCACCCAGGGCCTATCCCCCAAAACCATTCTGCCTTGCTAGGCCTCTGGGCCTTTTTTCTGTTGTCCTGATGCACAGCACCTGGCTCCCTTTAGCTATGCTAATCTCTTTAGTGTGTAGCCACTTGGCTGCACCCATGGATTTCTCTCCTGTAGATGGTGTTTTATTCTCTACTGCATGGCCAGGCTTTGGTTTTTCCAAATCTTTTTGCTCTGTTTCCCTTTTCTCTAGCAGCTCACTGTGAGCAGTTAGAAGTAACCACATAGCAGCCTGAATGCTTTGCTGCTTAGAAATTTCTTCTGCCAGATATGCTTTCCATCTTCTTACATGGACACAATTCTGTAAAGCTTTTTGCAGCCTTATAAGGATGGCCTTTACCTAGGTTTCAATACCTTGTTCCTCATTTCCATCTGAGACCTCATCAGAATGGCCTTAACTGTTTATATTTCTATCAGCATTTTGGTAATGACCACTTAACCAATTTCTAAGAAGTTCTGAACTTTGCCTCATCTTTTTGTCTTCTGAGCCCTCACCAGAATCTTGCTTAATGCTCCATTCATGGTAATACAGGCTTTTTCTAGTCTGCTCCTCCAGATTCTTCCAGCTATTACCCATAACCCAGTTCCAAAGCTGCTTCCCACATTTTCAGTTGTCTGTGTGTGTTTTAGTTCATTTTGTGTTGCTATAACAGAAATACCTGAGACAGGGTAACTTATAAAGAAGAGAGGTTTGTTTGGCTTATGATTCTGGGACAGCTGCATCTGGCATGGGCCTCAGGCTGCTTCTACTCATGGTGGAAAGTGGCAGGCAGCCAGCAGGTACAAGCAGATCACATGGCGAGAGGAAGCAAGAGAGAGAGAAGGTGCCAGAGTCTTTTTAAGCAACAAGCTCTCGTGGGAACTAATTGAGTGAGAACTCACTCATTAATCCCCCTTCCCCCTGGAAGAGCATTAATCCATTCATGAGGGATCCGCCCCCATGACTCAATCAGTTTCCAACACTGCCACATTGGAGATCAAATTTCCTCATGAGTTTTGGAGGGGACAACACATCCAAACTCCATCATTGTGGCAACACCCAACTCTTGGTACCAGTTGTCTGTTTTAGTCTGTTTAATGTTGCTATAACAAAATACCACAGACTGGATAACTTATAAAGAAAAGAGGCTTATTTGATTCACAATTCTGGTTGGAATGTCAAAGATTGGGCAGCCCATCTCGTGAGGGTCTCACTCTGCTTAAACTTATGGCAGAAAGTGGAAAGGGAAGCAGGCACATATAAAGAGACCAAAGATGAGAGGGAACAAAGTCAGTAACTAATTACTGAATTTATTGGTTAAATCCTGTAATTAACTGGTAACTAATCCAGTCCCACTACAGCAAGAACCCACTTCTGAGAGACGGCATTAATCTACTCATGAGGAATCTGCCGGCATGACCCAAACACCTTCCAGTAGCCCTCACCTCCCAACACTGCCACATTGGGAATCAAATTTCAACTTGAGTTTTGGTGGGGACAAACCACATTCAAACCATAGCAATTTAAAAACCTCATTCATAAAAAAAACACACAGACAAAAAAACCAACCTTCAATTTATTAAGTACATGTTAAGCTTCCAAGCACATAAATCAAAAATTTGTGTG